ACCGAGAAGTGGCAGTTCCCGGGACTGCCATGGTGGCCATGGTGGGCGAGGAAAGATCGGTGCCGAATTCGGACCGTCACGCGTCAATATTTCTAGACGTTTCTAGAGTTGCTAATCTAGGGCGGTAAAGACAGGAATCCCATGATGTGCCGTGCAGCGGGCACGTTGAAATCCGCGGGTATGTACTGGGGGCGCTTGCATGTGGGGTGCCACTGCCAGCTTGTGAAAGGCTGGGCCCGTGCATCGATTAGCGCGGAAGTCGCGAAACTCCACCGCGGCCTGGAGCTCTCACTCGCGCGCCGGAGCTTGTAAACATCACCCATTGCGCCACCATGCCGCCCTTCAAAGATGACCAGATAATCGTGAGTCTCACGTGCACTCGACCCTCGGCATATGCGCTAACCGCCTTAGATCATTGCGCCGGGCTCCGAGACGACAGTCGCGCAGCTGGGGCTCCCCGAGTCTTTCACGCCCGCGCGTCTTCGCGTGAGATCGCGCATGTTCCCCGCAGAGAAGGAAGGTGAATTCGAGCCCTACAAGATCCGGAGAAAGCAAGATCAGCCGACCGCGACGAATGGCGACCCCACAGACGAATCGCAGGAAGAGAAGAAGCCCACCGAGGGCGACGATGATGTAGTGTGGGAGGAAGACCGCGTTTCGGAAGAAGGCGCGATATGGCCCATTCAGCAAGGCCGCATCGTTGACTGGCCATGCTTCTTCGCCCTCATCACGCACACCTACAACTCTCTGAACCCGCCCTTCCACACGCCGATCCTCCTCATTACGCAACCGGCATGGACCCCGCGAGAGCACGAGAAGCTCACCCAGTTTTTCTTCGAGAAGTTCAAGGTGCCTGCTTTTGGGCTCATGGACGCGGCATTGGCAACAACATGGGCATACGGTGTACACACGGCAACAGTGATAGACGTGGGCAAAGACAAGGCAGACATCACCGCCGTCAGCGAGTTCATCCCGCACACCCAGGGTCGCGTCATCTCACTGGAAGGATGTGGAGGCGAGGCCTTTACCCAAGGGCTCTTGTCTAAGCTCAAGTCCAAGGGTCTCAACCGCGACATGTGTGAACAACTGAAGAGATCGCCCATCTGCGAACTTCTGCCCCCAGGAGTTCCGCTACCAGGGCCAGGAGATGCGGCTACCAAGGATGCAGCGACCAACCCTGCAGCGCTCGCATCAACGGGCGCGACCGGTCCTGGCGCAGCAGCAGCCGCCTCCATCGGAAACGTGCCACGAGGGCCTGGTATCGATACGGAGGTCGGCGAAGACGCGAGTCTTGAAGAGAGTGAAGGTGTTTTGGATGTCGCAAGCATCGTCGCTGGCGGCAAGATGTCTGAGTACCTTGCTAAGAAGGAGAAGGAGAAGCAGGAAAAGGCCAATGCGAAGAAGAAGGGTGGTCCGGCTCCAGCAGCCAACAAGCCGGTCAGGTTACCCAACTCCCGACTGGAGAAGGCTACATTCCTCTACGAAGATCACGCGCTTCTGGACACTTTGAAGAACATGAACCTCAATACCCAGGAGATGGCAGACGCGAAGGGCGCTCTGGACGAAGGGCCAAACAGGAAGGGACAAGAAAATGGAGAAAACGGCGAGCCTACATCCGCGACTGAAGCGAACGGCACCAGCGAATCTGGTGCTACCGGCAAACGCACAGGATCGATAAGACGTGAGATCGAGGTTGGCACCGAGCGTTTCATGGCAGATGGTGATGGTACGCTGGAGAAGATTGCAGACGCTGTGCACAGAGCTATATCGTCCATCGACGAGGTTGGCAAGCGAAGTGATCTATGGGAACAGCTCATCGTCTGCGGTAACGGTTCAAAGCTACGAGGTAAGTCGTCTACCACGTTTCAGCATTCATCGTGCATCTACTGACATCTATACAGGCTTCAAAGAATCGCTCCTCCAAACCATCCAGACTAAGTATTTGGTCTCGCCCTCCTCCGCCACAATCTTCACATCCGAGATCCCATCCAACGTATCAACGCCCATGGGAACCGGCGCGAACACACCACAGCCCCAACTTGGCCCGCACGGCGGCTCCCAAGTCAACCCGCTCCTCCTTGCAGCTACAACTGCTCAGACACAACATATGATGCCACACGGAGGCATGCCTGGCATGGGAGGTAACACCCACTCATCGCACGGCCAAACACCCACATCAATCAAGTTTATCAAGCCGCCTGAGTACTTCCCCGAGTTCAAGGACGTTGGTTTTGATGAGTCAGCCTTCTTGGGCGCTCAGGTCGCAGCCAAGGTCATCTTCGTTGTCGATCAGGGCCAAAGTAAGGGTTACATGACCCGTCCCGATTACAACGACCAGGGTCCACAGGGTATCCACGATTACAGTCTATAATCTGATATCTTGGTACTTGGATTACGAAAGCCGGCTTTGATAAGCAAGGCCTTGTGTTACTTTTGCAACGCAGCCATTTTGTGGAGTTTAGGCACGGTTTATGGATATCCCGGCGTTGCCAAAAAGGAAAGCCTGGGGTCAAGTTTGATGAAACGAAATAGGCGATTGTAGCGATAGGCTAGCCGCGCATTGCGAGATGCAACCTCCAAATCCTATTTTCATTACCACCTACCCGTCCCTTTCTTTCCTTTTTCACTCGTCAACTCTGTGGGAGTGAAACGCCCACCTCGTTTCTTCTGATGATTTGGCATCGGAGTACGCCGATAGCCCTGGGGGCTCCGCTCCGCTCCCCACGTGCTAGGCATTAGCGAGTGGCTAACCGGATCTAGCCGTTCTTACGTCTGGCAACTGATAAAGGTCGCCAGTGCCACTCGATTTATATTGCTCTTGTCTTGATTGTCTTTTTGTTCGTTTTGCCAAATCTCCGACATTCACAGGTTGTGAGAAGTACAAGTTCATTTCGACAACCGCCCTGTTCGCGAAGTTCTACACTAGAGGCTGCGTCTCGGTACCTGCTCCGATCTATTGCCGCGGCTAGAACACTTCTTCACATCCACCGAATACAAACGCGCAACTCGAACTTAAAAAGGGGGAATTTTGACGGAAACAACATACGTACATCATCATGGCAGCCTCATCACCCATATCGAATACAGTTTACGTCGGCCCCTTCGTGCACAGCGAATCGCTCTCAACACTGGAAATACAGGAACGCGGCGCCATCTTCGTAGACTCTGACGGCATAATCCGTCATGTCGAAAAAGATATCCAAGAAGGCGATCTGCCCAATATCATCCAACAGAAAGGCGACTCATGGACAGACGCGAAGATCGTCGAGATAACCGGCACTGGCTTCTTCTTCCCCGGCTTCATAGACACCCACGTCCACGCCCCCCAACACCCCAACACAGGTCTCTTCGGCAAAACCACATTACTAGACTGGCTGCAAAAATACACATTCCCCATGGAATCCTCCTTCTCCAAACTCCCCCTCGCCCACCGCGTCTACCAAAACTTCGTCTCACGAACCCTATCCCACGGCACAACAACAGCCGCCTACTACGCCACCATCCACGTCCCCGCCACCAACGCCCTCGCAGACATCTGTCTAGCGCGCGGTCAAAGAGCACTAGTAGGCCGCGTATGCATGAACAGCGATCTAAGCCCGGAGTACTACAGAGACTCAAGCACAGAAACAAGCTACGCAGATTCAAAAGCCAGTATCGACTACATCCGCTCCATCGACCCGAAAGGCGAAATCGTAAAACCAATCATCACACCCCGATTTGCGCCGAGCTGTACACCCGATTGCCTGACTGCTATGGGGAGATTGGCGAAGGAAACAGATACGCATGTTCAGACACACATCTCGGAGAACAAAGGCGAAATCGAACTCGTCAAAGAATTATTCCCTGATAGCAAAAGCTACGCAGATGTATACGACACCCACGGCCTGTTAACAGACAAAACCATTCTCGCCCACGCCGTCCACCTCACATCCGAAGAACGCAAGTTAGTTCTACAGCGCAAGAGCAAGATATCGCATTGTCCCGCGTCAAATACCGCGATTACATCGGGGTGTGCGCCGATTCGCGATCTACTGGATGAAGGACACACGATCGGTCTTGGAACGGATGTCTCGGGCGGAAACTCGCCGTCGGTATTGGAGAATGTGCGGCAGGCGATTTGGGTGTCGCGGCATCTGTGTATCCAGACTTCGAAAGACAAAGCGAAGCTTTCAACAGAGGAGGCGCTGTTTCTTGCTACGAGGGGAGGTGCGGCGGTGGTGGGCATGCAGGATAAAGTTGGCGGGTTTGAGGTTGGCAAAGAGTGGGATGCGCAGATGATTAGTTTGGGGGTCGTTGGTGAGGATGGTTGTCGGGATGGGGCGTTTGAAGAGGGGCCGGTTGATGTGTTTGGGTGGGAGAGTTGGGCGGATTTGGTGGAGAAGTGGGTGTATAGTGGGGATGATCGGAATACGGTGGCTGTGTGGGTGAAGGGAAGGTTGGTGCATAGGACAGGGAGGTTTGCTGGGGCGGAGAGGGTTGAGACGCCATGATGGGACGTAGTTGTCGAGTTGCCATTCGTGCTCAAAATAGACCACCCAACATCAACTTTCGTCATAAGACACAGCAAAGTCAAAATAGAAAGTGAGATACCGGTCGCACTATAAGGCAGAGAATGGGTCCGAATCGCAGGCGAAATGTGAGTCAGCATGGGACGCGCAACATGAGACTAAACACAAGGCGGAACATCAGTCAGAATGTCAGGCAAAGTGCAAACCGAGATAGAGGGCGGAAGTGCTCGTCAGCGTGGCTATGCTGTATGATGTTGAGAATTCCGAGCACACACTTCCAAGGTTTACTTGAGCTCTCGATCATCAGAACGTCACGAAAAGTATATAACTGCTTTATGCTGAACATATACTGTGCTATCACGACTATCCATCACCTTCCAACTTCCTCCTCACTTGCTTCATCCCTTTTACCGAGCCAGCAGCCTATAAAACCTTCCATTTAGTATTCCTCCATCTTCCTGCATGATGACGAAACTTCAAATCGCCTTTTCCATGCTATGCGCTTCAATAGCCTTCGCCAGTCCATTACTCTCACCTGAGCTTGAAGACACCTTCGCCAACCTCAAGGCCAGACAAGAGGGTCTGGACGATCGCAAGAACGTTGGCGAGATCTGTGGGCACGACATCGACGACGGTAACGCTGATGTCGCCAAGGACATCTGGCGTGTGACGGGCGCCGACACCACACTCGACATCATTGCCTTGGGTTCGTACGACAATTGGGTTCGCAACATGGACCAAGCTGTCTTTGATAAGCAACAGTCGGATTCTTGGGACTGCGCTACTCTTGACGGAACATGTGGCCATGCTGCCGATTGCCGTATACTTTACCCTCAACACTAATCTTCAAAAGCTTACAGTGACAGATGAGTTCTTCACGCGCGATCGACCGGAGTACTATTGGATCATGCGTTCTGTTTCCAAGGCGCATACTGTCCTCAAGACTCTACACACAGAACTTGAGAGCATCGTTCTTCTGAACTCGCTCAGCCTTGATCAACTCAAGACAGACTTCGGTGTCGAGAACTCCAAAATCAATCCGGCCGGAGTTGCAAACGGTGCTTTCGCATCAGCATCTGGTGTCTTCGGGATGGCGGGACTTCGAAGCGCAGATCTCGCAACTCGGGCAGGACCTTACGGCGGAGCCCTTGCGGTGATTAGTGGCGGGTTTGGAATAGCTGCCTCTACGTACCAGCCAAGCGATCCCGGGGCAACAATGGAGACGATGCTGGCTGATTACTTCAACCAGAGCAGGATCGCGATTGCCGATATGGCACGAAACCTTTTTGGAGAAGGCGATCAGAGCAAACTTCCCGAAGCGGGACAATCTGGTGATCGTAACTACTTCCAATCGCCAGTGGGACGTACTTTCAACGAGGGCAAGTTCGTCATTGAGAGTGTCGATGCCGTATGGAAGGATTACATCAACGTTGGCAACAAACTATTGGTACGTTAGTCAAGTCTCATGTATTGATCCCAACGTTTTGGCTGATACGTAGTAGCAACAAGCACTTGGTACCCGTCTCTTGAGCGAGTTAGGCTACCTTGTCTTCATCAACGTCGAAACTACAGAAGAGCTTTGCGTGACTGGAAAAAACTCCAACCTATGGACCGATGGCCTTTGTATGGGCCTCTACCACACCCCCGAGTACGAACATGAGTTTGGAAATCCGAATAGCTACAAGATCTCTCCGCTCGACAACACGGTGGTGGACACGATGACTGGAAAATACGAATTCAATCTGATGGATGTCTACTCGAATGCAATCGAGTGTAAGAGAGCCCGTCAAGATGGCGAGCGCGAAGTCGATATCCAGAACACCCCATATGGTGGTGATTGGCCGCAATGTATGTTCAACATCGATGTGGTAAAGGGCAAATTCAAGGGCGGCAAATGGTTCGACGATTTCGAGGCGCTATGAATTAGTCTCAGCATGTTTTACATTCGTTTAGTGGAAGTGTAATCAATAGATCAGTAGACCCGCGGTAGTAACAGAGCAACGTCCCCCCAATCAATCGCGAGATAGACAATGAAGTGGTACAATATACCTGCATTCCGTGAATTTCGAAAGTTGGGGGTAGCTCGTAGGCGACGGTATCAACAGCCTGTATCTACTGTGTTTGATTGAAACACATATCAATCGTCGATGACGGTGATTGCCATTCTTATGTCATCGGGAGACCACGCGACATCCAGGATCTGTGCGACCATTTCGCCAAAACGCATGAGCTGTTTCCTTCTCTCGACGAAATCAATCCCCCTTGTATCGAACTTGAGACAGACGTAACATAACAACTTGACAGCCAGTTGTGCAGGGGAAATTTCATATTCAACTTCCATAGCTTCGGAGTCGGGTGTCAGCCCATGCAACGCGTAGACTTTGTCGAGGATGTTTGTAGCCATTTGGTGTCGGTATATTTCCAAGAGTCGCATCAGAGGTACGGTTTTTCGAACGCCTAGTCGAAATCGATCCATAAACTTCGTCAAGACTATGGTAGCTGCCGGTGTTTCGAGAAGCAGACGAGGTAGACGTACTTGAGGCTTCCCCTCAGGATGCTCGAGAGTATAGAAGTCTCTTACTTCGCCAATCAAGTTGTACAAAGTCGACAGATTGGCACGCAGATTGCAATAGTATATCGTACACTCCTTGGCTAGCATGATCTCTTGGATGATCCAGACTCTGGTCCAGTAGTTCCTGGAGCACAGCCCAAGGATACCCTTGCCCTGGTCGTAGGTGCAGAATTCGGCCTTTTCTCCTGTTGCAAGGAACTCCATGCCCACGCCACAATGCGGGGATTGGTCGAGTCTGCCCAACCAAATGGACACCGAAGCGGCATTACTATAGATCTGCCGCATATTTTGGACTTGATGATTGCGTTCCAGTACATTACGTTGGTTGATGCAGATAGCATCAATCCAGTATAATTGATACTGCTCTTGCGAGCGCATCTCGTCTAAGAATGACCACAGATTGTAGCCGACGGTGAAGGGCACACCATTGAGTTCGATGGCGTTACAATTGTCCGCCGAACCCCAGGTATAGGATAGTGCAGTGTATGCCGGCGGAGCGGAATCGAACGAGTAGGTACGGAGGGCGCACTTGATAGGTCCGGAGAGCTCGCTCGCTTGTAGTTCGAGCAGCCTGAACTCCTGGCTTCCTTTCAGCCGGTTTAGAGGCGCATCTGCGTAAGCCTGCCATCTCCATTTCTTCGGCGGCGCTAGATCGCCCATGCTTGCGAACGGTAAGAATATACTTGTAACGTATACAATAGACCTTGTCGCTACATCGTGTCAGTACGGTATCGTGCGAGTACGACCCGGGTATACTACAGTAGTGGGTACAATACTCCAAACGCGAGATGAACGCGTCAGTCTAGCGCGTTGATACGACGCGATATATGCTGAAATGATGCTGCAGTATGGCTAGTATGAGGTTTCCGAGCGTGATCGAGGGACGATACGGCTTTGGTGATGATACGTGAGCAACCGTGGATAGAGATGTATTGCGATGAAAAGGACGGGCGGCGTGCGGGGTTCGGACGAGGCAGCACCTGGACACAGGCGTTTTGCAGGCTTGAGATGTTACTCAGAGCTGCAGGTGCCATTGGTGTAGCCATGCCAGCATCCAAACAAGCAGCGAAGCGAGGATGCTGTGAGGAGTGCATGTCTGGACCACCAGAAGGCAGCTGAAGTGGGGCTGAGCTAGGACCATCACGCGAAGTCCTCCAGCCTGGGCATCTGCGACGCGTCATTCGTTCGAAGAACGCTGTGCATGCCCAGTGGCTGCTCCTGAAAGGTTCAACACTTCTCCTGTATTCCGTGCATGAAGTTAACTGTTCAATTTGATAAACGCGTACTTTCTCATTTCTTCAGCCCAAGCTCCATCAACGCTTTCTTACCCTTGGTACCCTCCTCTTCCCACCACAGACCTCTTATCTCCAACCCAGCCTTCCCAAACAAGTCCTTCCACTGCGCCTCTGTTCGTTCCGACGAGCCCAAGTTCATCATCTGCCAGTCCATCTTGGCATCGAAATGCACAACCTCCGTCTCCGTCTCTGGCAGAATGACCTCGTGAATTAGCACCACACTATCCTCAGCCATTGAGTTGACAATGTTTGTAAGAATGGTAAGGGCCTGCATCTCCGGCCAGTCGTGTAGAAGCATGCGCAGGTAGAAAGCCTTGGCGCCCTTGACAACAGGTGGGAAGGGATCGAAGAAACTCTGTCCGACGGTTACAACGCCATCAGGCAGACCTTTAGCCTGCGCGATAACGCTCGGAAGATCCAACAGCATGCGCACACCCGGTAGCCCTTCTGCACGCTCGCAAAACTTTACTACTTGATGGCCTACGCCGCCGCCAACATCGACGAACAGAGGGCGCGAGGGTTCGGTAATGGCGAGGCGCTCCTTGACCGGGTACGATTGCACAAATTTGTTGTGCTCACCTGGCTTCACCAGCGTCATCGTTTCGTTAAATGCGTCGAACATCTTCACGTTCTCCGGCTTGTTCATAAAGTCAAAGTAGGTCTCGCCTTTGCAACCATAGGCAAAGCAGAAGGGGCTATCCCGCGCGTCTACGGGGTGCTTGTACCCGTTTGCAGCGAAGTAATCGGGGAACTTGACGGCCGAACGGAAGTGGTAATGGAAGTGGATGATTGCGCTGCGAAGAGGCGCGCCCTTTGCTATGGCACGGCCGAAAGCGGTTGGGGTGTAGCGCTGTGGAGAGTCTGATGTCGAGGTGAAGACTTCGGGTACGAGCATCTTGAGAATTCGGTCTTGACGGGATTAGTAAGCGATCCTTTGTGATGTTTTGAATGGAAGAAAGCTTACTGATTAATCTTAGGTCTGCTCTGCTCTTCTCTGCCAGCTCGGCGGCGGTAATGGGCCCATTGTTCGCTATGGCCATATCGACAAGGTTGAGGTCAACGGCGAGAATGATGACAATTGGGTCATAGATTGCCTAGCATCATTAGCCATGTGTTACGGTGAAGTGATTATGTATGCTGCATGGAGAAATGGTTATCAATATCGAAAAGACGCACGAAGAAATGACGCAGAAACTTGTCCATGGGTGTTTCCAGGGCTTGTGTGAGCTTCTCGGAGGCTTGCAGTAAGGCGAGCCGGTCAGCCTCCTCGAGACCTGCCGGCCCCTTACTGGCAAGAGCGAGGATATCTTGGGCGAGTGTCATGTTCGATATGGTGTTTGTTCTCCTTTGGAATGGAAGATGGGTAACTTTGGCAGTTTCTCCTACACCTACAGCCGCTTGAAGCAGTACTTATGCCAACGCGCTCGGTGTGTATCTCCATCTTGATCGACAGCAGAGAGACAGTTGTTCGAGCTAGACGTCGAGTCTACACGGTACGGCAGTTCTCGCCATGCCCTTCAACTTTTACCAAACTTGGGTTATCTATCGTAAATCGCGGCGAAAACAGCCTTGCGCCTGCTTGCTTCTACTACGCCAAGTGCACCAACCTGTCAAACATACCTAGGTACCGCGATACATGTGCAGACTTCGTGCCCATACTCGTCTTGTAATGCACCGATTTTATGAATACACCGAGTGTGCGAATATACCGATAATGGAAATGAGCCGCATGTGACGAATGTACCTAAACAGATACTACGTGTGAGGAAAAATGTTTATTCAATAGTACTAGATCAACTCGCCATGCAAACGAAGCGCATGCCGTATGGGCTCGAGGATGTTCACCAGGAACACAACGTCGATGTAGATTCGTCGCGTCTCACATCTCACGGAGAAATTTGAGTCCGCACGTGCCAGCAGCCCCACCCGCACCTTCCCGAGGTCCTCTAATCCAAACACACGACAAGTTGATTCTTCATGAAACACCCAGCCTCATGTGTTTACTATTCACGAAATAGACGTAGTAGTTGTTCCCGCAAACGTGGAGTCTGCATTACGCGATAGATGATTGCGAACAATCCTACTTCGGTTCGCAATGTCCGACATGACCCACCACTTCCTGCTCGCTTCAGGGTCAACCATCATATACGCGTATTCCGTACAAAAGGTTGTACGATGTTCATGCCTAGGTAGTATAACAGGCGTGATGAGCTGCTGTTTGGTGAACAGAGAAACCGACCATCTACATTCATTTTGTTTCGCTCTCTGTTTATTTTTGTATCTCCATTGTCACTCGTTTATACCACCGCCATGGTGAACTTCAATTCTATTATCGCATTTTCAGCTTTCGGTCTGGGTGCGCTGGCACACCCAACCATCAAGCACATCGACCGTCGCTTTTGCTCGCTCGAACAGCGCAGCGTCTTCGTCCGCGCGGAAGACCCTACCTCACCCGCACCAATCCCCAAAGCGACGACATGGAACCCGCCCTCCGATATGGTCACCGGTCTAGACCAGGTATGGAAGCAGACCATGAAGGAGAATCCCCAAGGTCTTCAAGACAAGAACTGGATCATTGATCAGATGATGGCCAACAACGGGAGTATCAACTACTGTGTCCGCTGGAACCACTCGGGTAAAAGCACTGCGAGTGCGCGCGCATCCACCGTCAAAGCTTTGCAGCGCTCGATGCAGAAGTGGTTCGACGTGCTCGTTGGATTCGAAGGATTCCCGCTTACTGAGCTTAATGTTAACGTTGTCGGCTACGCTGTCAAGGACAAGAACCTCATCGAAGGTGATGTCAACGGTCTGGACATCTACACCACCACCGATGGTGACGGCGTACCCGAGTGCGATACTCGCTGCTATCGCGCCGCTCATTTGGATGGCGATATGAGCCAGTGCCCCGGTGGTGAGGCCAGCCGCTACGACATCAGCCTATGGCTTGATAAAAGTCTTGAGGGTCAGATGGGCGGCTATGGATACAACTGGGGAGAGGAGATTGGTCCGGACTACTTCCTGAACAACATTGACCAGGAAAATATTCACATCCTGCTCCACGAGATGGGCCACGGCTTCGGTCTTCTAGGTATGCTCTATATGTATTTCGTCATGATTCGTGCTAAATCCGTGTCAGACTTTTACGACTGGGTGCCGCAGGGCCAGACCAACTTCATTATGATGGCCGGTAGCGCCATGGAGATCACCGAGTTCGATGCTTGGATGCTGAGGGATTGGTGGAGGAAGTTGAAGGTAGAGCGCAAGTGGTAGGCTACTACGTTCGTGAGATGTCGGTACCCCGCGCATGGATACATGTTTAAACTTCCGCAGTAGGGTGATGACTGTGAGGTCTGGTGAAATGGTTTTGTTTCGTTCTCCTGTACATATATTATCAGTTTGGTATGCGAATTGAGTTCTGCTGCTAGTTATGGCCGATCTCGAGAAAGTGTCGAACCGGATGGTCAAACTAAATTGATTTTCCCAGCATGCCGGGATTTTTGCGTGAAGGCCTCGCCGTCCATCAATCCGTAAACAAAGCAGTCGCCTATCAAGCGAAAGCTATCACCCACTGGCGTATCGCTAGGGTCTGAAATATCTCTATCACCATCCGCAGTGACTAATCCATCTTTCCGGACGATGAACGGCACATTTCCGCCCTTGAAAACATGCACTCTATCGCCCACGACGGTTGTTCTTGGGCCAATACCCATGTATCCAGATTTGGTAAGAAAAAAACGTCGGGACGCTGTCGCAGTTTTGAGAGCGTGATGTACCCCAGATATGCCTTCATCAAGGTCGCGCTGCGAAAACGAAGCTGTTCGAGAGAACGTGTCTCGTGAGATGCATCGAGACCACATACTCCACGCCCTATAGGACTCATAATCGTCTTTCGTAGCTCGGCGATAAGAGCTCTTCGCCCCGCGCGTGTTTGGAGAAGCATCCGTACGTATCAGATCTCCGATCAATGCCCGCCAAAAGACATCCTGATATAGCTCGCCAGTAGGATATGTCTTTAGGTTTTGCGCGAAGTGATTGGTGAGCAATTTCCAGGACTTTATGACGGCGCATGTATCGCTGATCTGTGTATGTCGGCTGACCTCGCCAATGGTGGACACATAGTCGATGTACACAGCCTCAAGCTCTAGTGCATTGTTCTCCGGATGGTACCGCACCGGGCCTTCACGGTTACCACTTGCGTTGTACATGTTCAATGAGCCAACTCTTTCTATTTCAACAGGAAGGCATGGTAGCGACCAGTCCATTACCCAAGAAGGAAGACCTTCAAGACGTCTGCGATTCAGGACAGCTTCAAGATCTCCTGCAAGGACTGAGAGCGATCCTGTTCGTCGTAGGTTGCCCCAAGTCGTTCGAGTGAATATTTTCGTCGCATCGCTATTGTAATCGGGGATCAACGCTGGCAAACCTTGCCAGTCCGTAGTCAATCCGAGGAGAGCAAAAACTTTGTCTCGTTTGTCAGTCGCCTGTAGGGGTCGAAACTTCCAAAGCAGATCCAGCAACGTTGCGTTTTCGGAGCTACTCTCGTGACAAAGTCTTGTCTCTTCGATTCGAAGCACGAAGTTGCTGAACTGATCCAGTGTGTCTTGCCCATAGAGCGTCCCAGCCAGATCAAGGCACAACGTGTGACGCCGCTGGACATAATTAATGGCGGCGCTAGCGAACATTGACCAGGGGGCTGAAAGCATGCCGTAATGTACCGTGGCGTTTCTCGAGAGTACGGTCTCTTGGATGACCCAAATGCGCTGCCACTGCCAGTTCTATTGTCAGTTCAGACCAGATGAAGAGAACGTGGATAATCACCCAAGCCCTATTCATTAATCTTGCGAGGCCGTCCCACACCCTAAGAGACTGTGACCCATGCCAACGACTGTTTGTCGCAATCAGGCCATGTCTCCTAGGATATTCGATGCGTTCCGATATAGTGGCTTTGTTGCGATCCAGCAACTTCAGCAGAGGGTACGAAATGTCTTCGGCGAAGTCCTGGATTAAACAAAACGCACCAAAAATATCCGGCCCTGTGTTCGCCGCGGGTGTGTCTGCAAATGCGACCAACGGTGCTACTTTACACGTGTTCTCAAAATCGAGCATAAACTCATCCCGCAGGTCGCTGTCTCTGGAACCACCTGTCCACGCTATTTCGGAAGCATTGCCCTTCAAAAAGCGGGAGCCAATATCTTCACCAGGCGTTGGTTCGCCAAGCCATATGATCGTCTCGCGACTGTTGCTGTATATATCACCCATCAAGCCAACTTGTCTTGTTCTCTCTGAAGCATCTGCTTGGTTAATACAGAGCGCGTCCGCCCAAAGCAGGACCTCATGGTCAGGTTGTCGAAGTTTGCGCAGAGCCGTGGCAAGATTCTCAGAAACAGAAAGAAGTTTCCCGTTGCACGTTATCAGAACCTGGCGAGCGACGCCTTCGGAACCCCACGTGTACGAAACTGCGATATAGCGCCCTCGAACATCGTCAATGGAAGAGGCCTGGAGCTCTGCGCGAATGTCATCCTCCCCGGCGCCAGGGTGAAGGTGTAGCACACGGATTGCACGCGTCGCAGCATCGAGAGGGAGGTAGATTTCTTTCTTAGTCTTCCTGGCGCGTTTTCTGAGCTTTGACGCGATGCGCCGGGCCATGGTGGGTGGAGTGGAGAAAGCTGTCATCCAGCTGAGAATGCCCTGTGCTTACGCATCGTGATGGCGCGACTCAGCCACTCACAGAATGGGCGGCCTGACCGCGAGCTGACGGCCAGCCCTAAGCCTCGCGATAGACCAGCTCCTGGGAACATCGCTGGTTTGATGCGATCAGCACTATTTGGCATCCGATGAACGATAAGGCGACAAGTTTAGTCTCCAGGGCTTCGTTGGGATGTCAGCCGTGACGTCACATGCGCACGATCCCGACAGCTTCGGCTCTAATCGCCTGTGGTGCTCGAAATCGACGCGTCCTCATCATTTGCCAAGAACCACAACGACGCATCAAACCTTTGTTCAACCACATCCTTCCCAGACTCTCTCGCTACCTGATGAACATCAAATGAGGCTATGAAGCTGTCGCGCAAGCATGCTGGGCGACTCAGCTAGCGCCCGCAAAAGGAGCGTATGACGAGCGATCGCAGCAGCTAGCCCGTGCCTAGCGGTGTAGAAAAAGGTAAGAGAGACGAACGGGTGGCGTCCCGTAGAAGTCTAGTGCCAATAATGCTTGATCGGCATGGCTTTGTACCTTGTTTTAGGACTGCTTTAAGGCCGGCGTGCCTTAAACACGTCGGGTGCTGCTCCGTTATCACGATCTTACTCTTCTCTCGATAGCAGGACATGCTATCGACAAACCTCCGTCGAGCTACCGTTGCGCTTTTAGCTTCATCGCGCTTAGTTTCATGCTCCACCAGCAGCGAACATGAACAATTCAAGGATGTAACATGGGATGACCAGAATTGGGTTATAGCGACACATGCCCTGGATCAAGGCCACTACCAGTCCCGCCTAACGCTTGCAAATGGCTACTTTGGCATCAATGTAGCATCAGCAGGACCTTTTTTCGAAGTGGATGAGCCAGTGGACGGCGACGTTATAAGTGGGTGGCCGCTGTTCAGCAGACGACAAGCTTTCTCGACCATCGCAGGCTTCTGGAATAGTCAGCCACGAACAAACGGAACGAATTACCCTTGGCTGTATCAGTATGGGTGGGAGAGCTTCACTGCCGGTATTCCACATGCTAGTGGTATCGTTGTGGAAGCCAACGGTCAATTCCTGAATGCGTCAGTCAACCCCGACCACATATCGGATTTCGTATCGAGTCTAGATGTAAAAGCTGGAATTGCAAGCTGGCGATACAATTGGCGGCCTGGTGGTTCCGGAGATGGGACAGTTGACGTGGACTATCAGATGTTTGTGCACAAGCTTTATGTCAATAAAGCAGCAGTCAGGCTAAGACTGACTGCGACACGCGACCTCAACGTGACGGTGTACGACGTTCTTGACGGTGACTGTGCTGTTCGCTCAGACTTCGTTGAGAAGAAGTTTGAAGAAGACACGCCTACGATCTGGTCCGCTGTCAGCCCGGGAAACATCACCGACGTAAAGGCTTATGTATATTCGACTCTGAGTGGCAGCGATTGGGTCAATCTTACTGCTCGTAGTGAAGTAGCCGGCGGCATCTTCAGTGGCGGCAATGGCTCAACCATTGCGCAGTCTCTCCCGGTCGAACTTGTCGCCTTCCGTCCCACCGAAATCACCAAGTTCATAGGAGTTGCATCGACTGATGCTTTCCCGGATCCGCAGAATGTAGCACGCGACGCCTCACAATCCGGTGCCGAAGAGGGTTACTACAAGCTGTTGCATTCTCATATTGAAGAGTGGGAGTCTATACTAACACCGGACTCGGTTGATGATTACCACCTACCGAACGGATCTCTCCCGGAAGATCCAGACGTACGAACATTGCATATCATGGCACGAACCAACCCATTCTACTTGCTATCGAATATGGTCGGACCCAATGCTGTGGCTGCAGCCAACAACAATACAAAGCTGGACATCTACAGTATTCCCGTATGTGGGTTGGGCTCAGACTGCTACGGCGGTATGATCTTCTGGGATGCAGACGTATGGATGGCACCAGGAGTCCAAGTATCGCATCCGCAACACGCTCAGAATGTCATCAAGTACCGCGTAGAACACTTCGATCAAGCGCAACGCAACGTCGAAACTGCGTATCAATCGAGCAAAAACCAGACAGGCCGTTTTACACCTGGAGGAGCTGTATACCCGTGGACAAGCGGACGATTTGGCAACTGCACAGGGACTGGCGCGTGCTTCGACTACGAGTACCACCTTAACGGCGACATCAGTCTTGCGCTCAACAATCACTTGATCATCACTGGAGATGGCGAATACTTCAACGACACTCTATTGCCGATCTCGAACGCTATTGCGCATTTCTTTGGCCAATTACTGGACTTCAACGAAACATCCGGCGCATATGAGCTATGGAACGCAACGGACCCGGACGAATACGCCAACCAGGTCAACAACATTGCTTTTACCACTGCACTCATGCAACGCCATTTCCTCGAAACGAACGAGTTTAACAGCTGGTTTGGACGCAGCCCCAATGCTAGCTGGGCAGACAAGGCATCCAATATGCGAATTCCAATCAACGAGAATGCTGGCATCATTGTTGAGTACACTGGGATGAATGGATCAGTTGCGGTTAAACAGGCTGGTACGTAACATCCACCTCTTCGATAGTTGAGTCTCTAATCATAACTACTGTTCAGACGTTGTTCTGGTCGACGACCTACTACATTACCCCAACCCATACAGCTTAGCCAACCTGGACTACTACGCAGCAAAGCAGTCTCTTGACGGCCCCGCGATGACCTACTCTTCGTTTGCCGTCGTCGCAAACGAAGTTTCACCATCTGGCTGCTCGAGCTTTACCTACGACGTTTACTCATCCTCGCCATACGTACGCGCACCATGGTACCAATACTCCGAACAACTCATTGACAACGTCGACGAGAACGGCGGCACGCACCCTGCGTTCCCTTTTCTGACCGGCATGGGAGGAACCAACCGCGTGGGTATTTTCGGATATCTTGGTCTCGGTCTCTACTACGATAGGCTGGATATCGACCCCACGCTGCCGCCGCAGATCCCATATCTGAACTACCGTACCTTCTACTGGATGGGCCATGGTATCAACGCTACTTCCAACTCGACGCACACGACTTTGACACGTCTGCCACGAGAGAATTATACTCTAACATCGGCGAATGCGACGTACTTTGACAAACCCATCCCAGTCACGATTGGTACCCGAAGCAACCGCGATAACACAACGTACGAACTTGGCGATGAGCCACTCGTAGTGCGCAACCGACCAATGGGCGAAATACTCACAGTCGGCGGTAACATCCTCCAATGCAAAGCTCTGCTCCCACCATCCCAGGGTAACAAACCTGGCCAGTTTCCTATTGCGGCTATCGACGGTGCCGCAAGTACGAAATGGCAACCCGAACTTGCGAACATCACCAGTTACCTGACCGTAGATCTCGGCGATTCATCTTTCTACCCTATCAATAAGGTCGTAATGGATTGGGGCAACCAGCCACCCTCACACTTCGAAATTCATTTCTCCAACACCTCTTTGCCTCCATTCGAAAGTCAATCCAGCTCAGAACTCGATGAAGATGTGAGGAAGGTAACAGCAGGAGAAGTTGAGATAAGCGCACCTTGGGATCCCGTTACGGCGTATGAGATCAAGACGTACATTGGCAATCAGACGAACGTCACTCTTGAGCAGAGCATTTGGAGCGGACGGTATGCGCATTTGGGGATTAGTGGAAATCTTTTCGCCGAGAATGCGACGGATGGGGGGACGGTTGCGGAGTGGAGTTTGGTTAGAGAGGGTTTCTGAATTGTTAAATTTGATGGTTGATGAAGCTGTTGTATATGGAGGAATGACCGCAACGTAGGTACTCGTGGATTATAATGATACTCTTTTGATTAGCGGATCTTCAACCTTGTTTCGTAACCACGAAGCTAGTACAATACCCAGCCCCAATCGTCTGGATCTCTCCTGGTATGCTGATTTCGTTCCAGAACCCGCTGACCATATCGTTCTTCATTTCAACCCCAATATTTGACAGATCGCCACAGTTCCCATGTTTACCCCAACCCCATGATATTAATTTGCCCTCTTTCGTCACAGCGAGGATGTGGTCTGATCCAACAGCGATCTTATCCAGAAGCGGTAGATTGGGTGGTAGTAGCTTCCACATGTTCTCTTTACCCCACGCGGTAAGAGTGCCGTCGTCAAAGAGCACGAAGATGGCGTGCCATGTCGCGCCGATGTCTTTCCAGTCCTTGACATGTTCAGGCATGTTCGAGATGATGTTGAACTTGTCTTTGCCGAGGAGATGGTGTTTACCCTCAGCTGGATCACTGACTAGGTATGTGAAGTCTTTCCCGCATACCACCTTCTTAGGTCTAAACGGTATACCTTCGATTGGACTAGGCGCCATGCCTTTGCCGCCGTACAGTCCCTCCCCAAGCTGACCGAGACGTGCTTTTCCCCAACCGTATACTGAGCCATTTTCCATTACGGCGATGTAATGCCAAGCTCCTGCTGCGAAATCGATCATCCTGCCTCGAAGGAAAAGCAGGCTGGAGCCTTCGCGTGAGCCTAGCTCACCCCAGTTGTTGGAACCGAACATCTTGATGCAATTTCTTAACTCGTCAGGCTCGACAGGCTCGAAAGGCTCGAAAGACTCAACACAAGCCGAGGATTCGCATGTAGCGGCGGCGAAACTGTCATTATGTGACAAAATGCGGAATGGTTCAAGGGGAGACGTGGGCTCTTGCTTTCCCCGCTGACCTTTGCGATTATCACCAAGACTGTAGACCACGCCGCTTTTCGTGAACAGTACCGTGTGATTGTCGCCGCCTCTGATGTAAGATATCTCGTCCAAAGGAATAGGGCAACAGCCGGTTGTAGAATTGAGAACTGGGGTTGGAGTGTTGACTATCTCGGCTGCTGGGATCCCGAGTTGACCTTCTCCATTACTTCCGAAAACATATAGTTTGTGCGATGAATCTGTGGCAAGTGACGGGGCCACATAACAAGGGCAAGTTTTCTGAGAGCATGACATTTTGGTATGGGAGTAGTATGGTAATCAGAAACTTGATGGGTGTCGCTGAATGGGGTTGGCGATGAAAGCGACTGGTAGGCGTGTGAATGAGAGACGTTGGTTTAGGGTGCTTTACTTTTTTTGGAGGCCTTCTAGCACACACGCAACGAAAAGAAGAGCTTTCCAATGTCTGTTTCTCTACTTTCGCAACGCACGAATCATAATCGCGAACGCTGAAGTAACTCGCGATTGTCAGATTATACCGACTTGCACATGGACAATATTAGAAGTGAGGCGCAGTTCAAACAACAGTAGTAGCTCTAAAGATGCTCTGGATCGGGATCTGAAATTGCTCGTGGCAAGGTTGAAGATGCGCGGCTTCTGGAGCTGACGGCGCTAGCCCGCCGCGACGCTAATCGCTTACAGGGATAGCGGGTCCGTGCGCCCACTGAATTTCGACATGCAACATCGTCGGGTAACTTCCACCCATCGACGACAGCCAAACCGACCACGCCCACCCGTACTAACCGCACGCACATTCCACAGTCGCCCAACATGGCCTCCCAGAGCGTGCAATGCTTCGGCAAGAAGAAGACCGCGACTGGTACGCAAACCCCGCCGCCCGACACCCCAGAGCAAGAAGAAGAACAAGGCTAACAATACCGCCCACAGCTGTCGCCCACTGCAAGGTACACACGCAATACCACGATCGAACGCGCATCCGAACAGCATACTTACGATGAAATTCTAGGCCGGAAAGGGTCTCGTCAAGGTTAACGGAAAGCCTCTTTCCCTCGTCCAGCCCGAGATCTTGCGATTCAAGGTCTACGAGCCCATCCTCATCCTCGGTGTTGACAAGTTCGGTACGCACACACGAAACCCCAGGGAGGAAGCTGCGAAGGAATCACGGGCACAATACTAACATCATGGGCAGCTGATGTCGACATCCGCGTCCGCGTCTCCGGTGGTGGACACACCTCGCAAGTCTACGCCATCCGCCAAGCCATCGCCAAATCCATCATCGCCTACTACCAAAAGTACGTCGACGAGCACTCGAAGAACCAGCTCAAGCAGGCCCTGATCCAGTACGACCGCACACTGCTCGTTGCCGACAACAGGCGGTGCGAGCCCAAGAAGTTCGGCGGTCCAGGTGCGCGCGCCAGGTACCAGAAGTCTTACCGTTAAGCGGTATCGCTTTTGGGCTTGGAGAGGAGAAAGATGGAGCGGTGTATGGGGGAGCATGGAGCGGTGTTCATCCTGGGCTTTTACATGGGGTCTTCTACTGTCTATCATCTATCTCCTTGAGGACGAGGTTACGTGACATGGCGCGCAACGGCTGCCTGGTACGATCCCCCGGCTTGTGACGATACAAAATGAATACATTGGTTGCAAGAACGTGGACAACGGCATGTCGAGTGTGGATGGTCATGAGATTCTCAGTGAAGCAGGATAAATGAATGCCAATCGACTCTTCCCCAAACGAACTACTTAGGCACTGAAGTGGCACACGCAGAGCAAGTGCACAGCTGTCAAGACATATCATGAAGAGGGCAATGGACTCAATTAACGGTCTAACATTCACCATCTCCAACACCAACGCTTCCATGCATTAACACATACACACACGCGCACACTAACACAAAGCTATCCTCCAGCCAACCACTTCGCCTTCTCGTCCTTCCAGGTACGTCCCTGGAGGTCAAGACTGTTGTTGGTATAGCCATAGATTTTGAGAGGCGAAGGCTTCTAGCCATCGCTACCGCTGCTCCTGAATGCCGCACACAGCGCGGCATACTGGTGTGTGAGATCGAGGACGTGCTGGGGTAGCGAGGTACCCTGGATGATGCTGCGGATTTTGACGGCGCCTTCTTCTTCGATAAGTTTGCGGATTGTGTAGAGGAGGGAAGGTGAGAACTGGGGGTGTGTTAGTTTCGCCATATTGTTGAAGGGGTGAAGGTAGACTTACCTCAGAGTACCATCGGTACTGCCAAGTGACCAGTCTGATCAACGCGGCTGTAACGTCTCTGACTTGTTTCCTCTCCTCGCCCAGCTTCAGGACGCCTCGCATGGCTTTTGGCGAGAACTTGATCTGCAGACAGTTCTCATACGCCTCCACTGCCTCCTCTGTGTGGTGCAGTCTCTCGGCGAGTTCACCTAGGATCTCCCACTCCTCACTGCTCTTCTTGTACAGAAGTTGTTGCTGCCTGTACTGCGCCATCTCAGTTCGCCATATCGTGTATACGCGCAGATCCTCGTACAGGACCATGAAGAGGTTGTCGAGCCAGCGTTCGCAGAGGCGCTTGTTCTGGAAGTGTGTGTAGTTTGGTTGCGAGGGGTTGCCGTTGTTCGCGGCGTCGTGTGCGTGAGGGTCTTCGCTGCCGGCTTTCACAACTTCAGAGGCGACAGTGTGCATGGGCTTCTCGAGATCGTTGACTGCTTCGGCGGCCGCAGACGATGATTCGCCGTTCGTGTTGGATATCTCAGCGGAGGAACGTTCCTCGACTTCGCCATGATCACCATTTGTTTGCTGGGCGTGTGTGTTTGGAGAAGGAGAACGGAGCGCTGTTGTGCTGGCGCTGCGAGAATGCGGTTGCTGTGCGGTCTTTTCATGGCGGTATTCCTCCTCCATGACGAAGACTTGGCTTCGTATCTTGAGTAATTGATCCCAGCCTATCTTCTTTGTAATCTCGGTCAGCAGAATGTAGGCTTTGAGGAAGGTACCCTTGAAACCAGCAGCGTGCAGCTTCCTCAGAGTTGGGTGCACAAGCTCCATATCGTCGATGTTGGAATCTTCAATCTCGTCGCACATGGCTTCTGGCATGACAGGCAGAAAGACTCGCTGTGGCTCGGGCATCCGTGGTGCGTCCTTGTCCTGGTAGGTGAACATGGGACATGAGTTGAGAGTCAACAATGCCATGTCCCACTGCTCGAGGCTGACGTATATCTCTGCTAAGCGCGCCCATGTGCCAAACTCACTAGGTGCAGACACAACGCTCCTCTTAGCAATCTCAAGCGCCAGGTCGCCGCGGCCCTTCTTGTTGCAGAACTCGGCTTGGCAGTCGAGCAGAGAGTAATCCATGGGCAATTCTTGGATGGCCTCGTGTAGCAGTTGGACTGCCTGCACCTCCTCATCTGCCTCGATGTATACTCGCGCCAGTAGGGAAGAGATCTCCGGATCGCGAGTTCGCAATTTCTCGAACAGATTGATGCCTGAAGTATATCTACCGGTGGTATGAATGTAGTCGAGAAGACCCGTAGTCAAGTGGTTCGAGACGAGATTTGGGACTTGAATCTCGGGATCAGATCCTAATTGCCAGCCTGAATTGCGTTAGCGGAGATATCATCATGCAAGCGAATGTCATACCGTTGAAGAACAGGCGCTCTGCTGCATCCAGAAACTTGTGCTCGCTCTCGGTACTTGTGATGGGATTGAATCTCCGCACACCAACGATCTTCTTGATCGTGTCGCCGGAGCCATCGTCGGCATAAGAATATGCGCGCAGTACGCTACACAGGTAGGTCTCTAGCCAGAGTTCGTCGGTGGCTACTCGTTTGTCGCCGCGCTCATCGATGCAGTAGCTCTCCACAGTGCCAGGGATGTAGACCTGCACGCGCATGTCCAGGCGTGAGAAGGCATTGTAGCAGCTGCTCGGTCAGCAATTGCCAGCGCCGCAAGGAGACATTCCCCTACCAATACAGCCCAGAGACAACCTTATTTTGCTTGTCGTGCGCAGAGTATGTGAGGGTGTTGATGTAGGCTGCCAAGCTGGCAGACGAGGAAGCGTCTACGCCGGATACGTGGTGGTAGACGCCAATCTAATCACATGTCAAATTGGGTTCGCGGCCACTGTGCGGTCGAAGGTACTACGGACCTGCTTTGTCGCATTCTTGATGGGCTGCTTTATCAGGTGGACCAGATCTGGCGGGCCCAGCTCTCGTAGGGTCTGCAGAGATTCCGAGCGCGCTTCGATTGCGGAGTGTAGCTCGTCCTCGTAGATTCTAGAGCCATGTTAGAAGAAATTACAGCAGAAATGCGCCATGACGATGTGTTGTGACTCGAAGACAGCAGGAAGGATGCAGGTGGGCGCATATGTAAAACACGTATAGATTGAAAGCTAGTAGGTTGCGCGTACTCGGGAACAGCTGGCGATGTGACCATGACTTCAATTGGCGCCGCAAATGCGGGGGGACGATGGCGGTGAAGAGGATGCTATGGCGGGGGCGGGTTGCTGGCGGAGGGGCTTGGTATGCACTTCACAGCCCGGGCGATGTTTGTCAGGGTTTCGGTGTCCTTGCTGAGTATGGAGGGCAGGCACGGTAGCTCATCGCGGAGGACCGCAGCTGCCAAGACGGGGCATCCCTGCGCTTCATTATTCACTGTCGCGTCGCGTCACACCGAGGCCTCACGACGTGTCATAGGCCACAGCCCAGTCGCATCCCACCTTCTTTGTCCACACCATCGTCGCGCCTTCCATGGTTGCCTGCTGCTCAGGGTCTGTACCACCAATGCTGTGAAACGTCTCTCATTCGCCTGTCGGCCTTTCCCAACTGCCTACAACCACGCACATCTCGCATCATGGTAAGTACAACCCGGGCATTCTCAACCATGCCCGCTCACATATCGCAGTCGAAAGCCTCTACATGGCATCCCTACAATGTCGAGCTCCCCGAGGAGACCGCCGAAGAAGAAGTCGACGATACCCAGGAGATTCAGATCGAAGAGGCGCTGAAACTCTACCAAACCGCCCTCAAATACCACTCCGAAGGCCCTCCCTCGTTCGACAAGACCGCCGCAGCTTACAAAGCTCTCTTCGAATCAGAGATTTTCAAATACGCCGAATCCCTCTCGGAATACCAGCGGCATGAGGTCTTTGGCGAAGACCTGGTGTTCGACACCATATTGGAGGACGACTACGATGCAGGCCCCGTCCAGTCCACAGGCGCTGCCGACAGCGCCCCCAACACACTCCAACAAATACTGCACCTGTCATACAAGAACCATGGCCAGTTTCTGCTCGAGGCGATGCAGCATTGGATCGCTACCAGTGGCGTGTCACCGCAGATGGAGGCATGGAACAACACACGCGGCGCCCTGAACTACTTTGCCGAGGCTTTGGACAAGGAAGACACCGATCTGGATCTCTGGCTGCGTGCGGCATCTGTCGCGGCTATGCTGGGCAGCAAGCGCCTTACTCGCTACTGTCTGGAGGCAGTCTTGGATGGAAACGACGAGCAATGGGAGAGTCTGTTACGGCTTCCTGGGCTGGAGGAGGGTTTTGCCGGACAACAATTGCGCGAGCTCGTAGGACGCCTGGAGGACAATGTCTCACTGAGCCAGGCGCCACTATCCTCGATCAAGCGCAAGAAGCTTTCCGAGACGCTGAAGAGACGCCTGAATCCATTTCCGTTTGCGCCCCTCCCAGCCGATGTCGCCCTCGCCGAAAACCTACACAACATCAAGGTAGCACCAGAGAGCGTGACCCTGACTCCGACCAAGTGGGACTGGGCAGGACTGGGTGATATCATCGTACGGCAGTTCCTCTCGGAGCAACAGGGCATGACGCCTAACGTGCCTTCTGGTTCCAACATAGTCTTCAGCATACCACCCGAGAGCGAGACTCCTGAGCGCATCGAGTCTGAACCACCCGCACCAGTACAGGAAGCCTTGATGCCCGCACCTGCGCCCGCTCGGACCCCGTCGCCACAGATCGAAGAACCCAACACTGCAGCGACCGAAGCGGAGAACGTACCAGAGAAGGATGGCGAAGATACCATAATGGAAGAGCAGGAGGCCGAGAGCGAGGTCAAGAATGAGGAGGCTGTACCTGTTGGCCATTCCAATGTCGCACCAGTCCCATCGCGCAAACGATCGACAGACTCTGCTGGTCTACCCGAAACCGCAGAGGGTGGAAGGTCACGCAGTAAACGCATTCGGGGTCGAGAGTCGATTCTTGAACCGACAATTGGCAATGCAGCTCAAGAGGCTAGTAAACAGCTTGATGTACAACTCGAACCATACACATACGCAGATTCATGCCTCTATGAAATCCTCAAGGACATGTATGCGAAGCTCGGTGTCGAAGGAATGAAGGACCCCGATGAGCTGCGTAAGCTGGTCATGGCGCTCCCTCACGCCACTGCTACAGATCCCATTGACAAGGCCGCTTGTGATTTCTTCACGGGACTACGAAGCGGGCACGTCAAGACTGCACAAATCCTTCTCAGTTCCGAGTCTTTCGATCTCCTCGGTGCGACTAGGGAACACGGACTCAATGCATTTCTGGGTTTTTCCAAATCAAGTTCGAGTCAGGCCTCCAATAAACCTTTGCTGGAAAACCAAGGCTTGAACGCATTCGCAAGGTCTGTCAACAACGGTTGGCTTTCGATTGAAGAAGTCGCATTCGGCTGGATCGAATCTCTGTTTACTCCAGGTTACTGCTCCACAACAGGAACTCAGCCGAGTGATCAGTCAAGCTACCTGCAGTTTAGATGGGCGGAGGATCTCAAGCGCAATGTTGTACAAGTCATTGTTCGTATTGACGAGTTCATATACGAGCGCATGGTTGAACGCGTTGACAGCCTCAATCGGCGGATACTGGACGCTACACATCGGTCTCAAGCGTATGAGCTCTCTGCCTTCGACAAGACGCAGATAGAGATAGTGGAGGCACTGTTTGAGCTGCATCTCGATGTCTACTCTCTTATCAAGCATCCGCAAAGTGTAGTAGACGCCAGCACCCAAATCCTCCAGAGTGACCGTCTAGAGAGATGGGCTTTGCTCGCGCGGGAGGCTTTACAACTTCGATCGGACTGCAGACCAGGTCAGGGCATTGACGATCTAGGTTTGCGCCATATCTGGGCGACAGTCTTTCAAATGAGTGTCAACGACGAGGTGTTGCCGGAACATGTATTATTTGCCATGGCACAGTTGAAAGATATGTTTGAGCCTTTCGGCGATCACACGATTCAGATACAGAACAACGCCGTCATGCCGGAACTTTCAGTCGCCGCTATTGATCAAGAGCTCGTGCGCATTAGTATGAAGGACTTCTTTCTCAAGGTCTTTGACCAAGAGGAACAGGACCCAGTGACGGTTATCGAAAGCCTGGAGCCGATACTGGAGCTTGCGAACACAAAGGAGCCTAGTAGCTCCCCGAAGCCGGACGGCTTAGAACATGACGGTGTTGATACACACAGCTCACCTACTGTAAGCACTGGCTCAGAACAGCAGCTCGATCGCGCCTCGCCCGTTCTGGAAATGCGGAAATTCCTCGACTCTGCAAATGTCAACGTCCGACTCTCCCTCTGGAATAGGTTGCGTGTGGCATATGAAGCCATCGATTATCCTTCAAAGGTCTTGTCATGCTTCCTTAGAAGTATTGAGGCCCTTGTGGCAGACCTCAGATCTACAAACTTCCAGGAACTTCCATTACTAGACCGTCAACACAAGCTCCTAACCCGATACCGGGTTATCGATGACATGGTCGTCAAGATAATCCGCATCATCCGAGATGACGAAGCGCCATTTGCCTGCCTCTCATATGAGCATGTCCAATCGTCCATGTCCGCCATCGCAGAACTGCTACATATTATATCAGCAGCAGACATGCTCCGAGATCTGATTCGTGTCAATCACATCGCCGTGCCTCGAGTAGAATCTCAGCCAAATGCAGCGTTCGCCAATATGATGTCAAGACTCGACGACATACATCTACGACTCTGGATTCTGCAGTACCATCTGTTCAAAGACGGCATGTCCCAAGATCCAGAGGCTTTCCCTACTCCTTCTGACGATTTGTTCGATTTCATCCGCCATGTGCATCATGCGACTGGTGTACGTGGCTTCTGCCACCTTTCCAACCGTCAATTCTTAAGGCTTGCAAAGGACGAGCTACTTCGCATGGATGACATCGTGGATGGTCCCAGCCACGCCACCGAGCTCTGCCAGGTACTCCACGATATGTACGGATTGAAGCTTTTCGTCGAGCCTCTGGACTGTCAGAGCTTTCAAACTACCCCAGACGTCCTTGACAAGAAAACTGCCTTCAGCATCTTACCTTTCGCAATGTCGCAAGCTGCTAAGGTCGATCTTAAGGACCTACCGAAGACCGAGCTCAAGGGTACCATCGAGAAGGTGCATGCTGCTCTCGGTCGGCCCAAACAGAACGAGGACATCACCTTTAACCGCAAAGTCATTTCCACTTACTTCAAATCGCCGGTCAATCCAGTGGCACTGTTTGGGTGTCTGAAAGGCGTTGGTTCGCTCGCCACGAAACACATTCCTGCTGACGAAGCTGTGGCTGCATCGAAGGGCTGGTACTATATGATGGGAAACATCGCGCTGAGCAAATTCCGATCGCAGAAACGTATGACCCAGGGACCGACAGAAGACCTCAACTACGCCCAAGCATTCTTTGTGCAGGACCTGGAGCACTCCATTGAACGGTGGGAGACCTGGTATCGGCTTGCCCAAGCCAACGACACGCAGCTTGAAGAGGCTGTATCTTGGAACGCAGACAAGATGAACAGCAATAGTGCCGAGGTGGTTAATTTCCAGCGTGCTGCAATCAATTGCTACATTATGGCTGTAGCCTGCGCTACCCGCGATGCTAACATCACGCCGATCGATCAAACCAAGATTGCACAGATGTACACCGAGTTTGGAAACCGCATGTACGCCTCATCCAGGGAACCATTTGGTATGGAAGCATTCCAGATCCGGGAAAGTGAAAAACGATTCTGCAACCTACAAACGAACGCATCCCTATACAAAGAGGTCGTATTTGCCCCACTGCATGCCTACACTGCTTGGAAATTCGCAAGCACTCTCTACAAGAGAGCCATCAAGGGCAATCCGAATAAGTGGTGGAACCACTTCATGCTTGGAAAGTGTGGTTGGAAGATGTGGGCAGCAAATGATGGTGCGACGCAATATGCCAAGTCAATAGGTGCACCACTACCCCTTCCGCGCGGTCCTTCCTGGGAGTCAGTTGTGGACGCATTCATCAGCGCCATCGAAACACTGCCAGGAAAGAAGGGGCGCAGCGGCGAGCCAGTCCTTGAGCCGCATTACAAGCTCGTTTCCGTCACACACAAACTATTCCTGCGAGGAGCCATCGACCACGAGAAAGGGGCGGAGATCCTCGCGAACACTTCCTACACGCAGAACGTCAAAGCTCCGGAGAATAACGGTGACTGGCAGCGATACGTACTCGCGGTATTGAAAGCATTGCGAGGGGCCGACAAGTCAAGTTGGCACCATCGCATCATATCTCGTGTGGCCCATACTCTCTATGACAACGGCAGAGATCCAGTATCGGCCAACGAGGCTAAACATGAGCTTACGCAGCAAATGTTTACCAAGACCATGGCTGTTCAGGTCTGGAAACCTGAGAATGAGCGACCTGGCCGACATTTTGTCTACACTACACGGTACACCAAGTTCTTCATTGAACTTCTGGATCTCACTGGCGACAAGACTAACTTTGAGGCTCTTGCTAAGCGTGTACGACGCAAGCAGACCGACTTCTTTGAGCACCAGAAGCTGTGGCAAGACCTGTGCTTGCGTTACATCAAGATGCTGCGAAAGATGGGCAACGTGCTTGAGGGGCAGGAAGACTCTGCCTTCAAGTCCGTCAACCACGACGAGTTTAATACGCTCGCTCTTCGCTTGGAAGCGTGGTGTCAGAACCCAGAGACCCAGCATCCCGTTCTGGATGTTCTCCGTGATGCCATTGAACTCAAGCGTCTGAACAACGGCATGATGAAGCCTCTTCTCATCGATGACCTGATTGGCGACGCATACGCAATGCTGTACACTTCAATTGGGCCTTCGCTACCGCCGTTGCAATCGGAGCAACAACCACAGCAGCCCTTGCAGCCTGCACAGCCTCGACCATCGCCTTTCGGGGTACCCGCAACAGCTGCAGGTGCTGTACCTATTTCCTCGTTGATGCAGGTTCAGGTTGATGGACCTGCTGACGGAAGTTCCGGTACGCCATTTAACATGTATCACCCCAACCAGCTTCAGCCGCAGCACCCGCCGTCAATGCCCCAAATGCCCTCGCAGCCTGAACAGCCCGCAAAACCAAGAGCCAAGGCAGTGGGTCGTAGGGAGATCGCTCGCCGAGCCGAAGCTTGTGTACAAAAGATCGCAGGTACAGCTACGCAGCCAACATCAATGCCTATCCGATCGCCTCCACCCAGCGAAGCAGCGCTTCCCTCCATCGTCGGACAAGCCGCCTCACCCGAAGCCGTCGCGCAACCAGCACCTGGACCAGGCACATCCACCGAACATCTGCACCCTTCCTTCGACAAGAGCGGCACGGCGACCGCATCTGCCAGCATAAACAACGACGAGCCCGAACGCAGCGCACCCGCTTCCATCCACGACGACGCAGACGACGAGAGTGAGCTTAGCGAGCTAGACGAAGAAGAGGTGGAAGAGATCCATCAGGAAGTTCAGAACGATAATCTGCGTAGATCGGTATCTATTGCAGGAAAGCCTCTCTTTCCTAATCTGGCGGCTAACCGAGTTAGTCCCGAAGGAAAAAGGAATGAGACGGCTGATGGAGATAATGCGGCGGATGATGATGGCGATGTTATTCACGTTATGTCGAGGAAGGAGGATGGCGATGTTATACGTGTTAGTGCTAAGAAGGATGAGGATGCGATGGATGTTGATGGCGAGAAGAAGTAGGGGTTCATGCATTTGGTTCCACGGCGCATGAGAGGATGTTTTTGCTGGATTGTGTACTACTATAGAATAAGTGTGTATCATGGCGTTGCTATGAAGGATCGTCGACGAACGAGTCGGAGTATGTTTGTTTTCTAGATACCCATCATATAGGGCTGTATATATATCACACTTATTACATATTCTGCACTTTCGCTGGATCCCCGCAAGGACCACATGGATGATGAAAGGGTCCGAAGGGAAAAAGTTAGGGACATGGGGCGAAGACCATACACCCAAGGTATCACCACCAGAGTTCAAGTTCGTGAAAAAAGGACGTCCAGTATACCAAATACGGGGATTAATTCAGGCTAGAATAAAGGCAGGGTGTGTAGGAGCTACTTCTCCGACTCCGCATCATTTCTGTACCTGTCGGCATCTCCACTTGAGTTTCCCTTCGGGCCTGGCGTCACGCTTGTATACTTCTTTGCCTTTTGCGATCGCGCACATCGGTTTTGGCAGCAAACATGAGCAAGCTACCGTTGTATTTATGGGAGCCCTTTTCTCTGTTCTGGAAACGTTACTTCCCACCAAGGCACACATACTCACGCGCCAAGTCCAAAGAAAAACACAAGATGTCTCTATCCGGCGCTCCTGATAACAAAGCAGGTGATTCTTTCGAGAACCCACTGATTGACCACGCGGCTCAACGCGACCTGATCTCCGAGAGATACTATGCTCTGGATAGGGTCCACAATGCCATCATACAGACTACTCAAGCGTGCGTGGCCTCGTTCATTGCGAAAGGGTTTGCCATCCTCAACAGCAAGGGACTCCGCGTGTTCTTGCAAGACGGTCGCATCGTCACTCAGACGCTGCACGTGTATTCCAGGGATCCAGCTGAGAACACTCTGTCGCGCCTGAACGATCCGACGTGGGAGTTTATCAGTGTGAGGACCGGGTTGGCGGAGGCGGCCTCTAATGACAAGATCTACTATGGTAAGGCTGTGAAATTGATGAGCGTCTTGCAGACTTGCTAATCACATAGCAAAGACGTTGACATCAAGTACTTTAAGAAACGGCTTCCCGATCTCCCAGATTTGACTGCAGAGGGCATCTTTGGTAAGTTACTTTTCTTACTACATTGCATGCACATACTGATAGTTCGCGACTAGGTCCAAATTTCTTTGCGAATGATGGGATGTTTGGTACTGGTACTACTTCTGCTTCTGAGCCTGCCGTTGCTACTTCCTAGACTGGAGTTGTTGATCGGCGTGGGGTATGATGGACTGCAGTCTTGATGTATCTCCCATCACGGCTGGAGCATTGGAGTGAGAAGGTCTTTCTTTTAGATATCAATGACATATGGCTGCACACAACACATGAAGACCAAGGTTTTGGTCCAGAATGAGTGACCGAGTCTATGCGCATCCGCTGGGTACAATTGGTGAATGACCTAAAATCTAGGGAAGGCACATACGCTGAAGTTGATGTATACGATACATGGTGACATCACGCTCCTGCTTTTCGCCGCGTCCTTCGCCTTCCACTCGGGTATCGCACCTTCCTCGATCAGCCGTAGCCTCTTGCAGTTTGCGATAGCGATTGCCTAATTCGAAAGCACCTCGTGTTGATTTGTCCGTCACTCAGCAGACTCAAGGCTTGCGTCCACAACACACGACTACGAGTAGCAAGCTCGAGGCCCCTTTCAGGCATATAACCCCGCCTTTCCCGCGCTGTCTTTATCAAATATCAAGGCTGCAGTGGCCCCTGACCACCCCGTCGACAATGCGCTCCTTCACTACGGCAAATGCGCTCTCACTTTCGCGGTGAGGGGCGGCGATGGGAGGTCACCTGGACTTTGAGTAAAGGTCGAGGTGACGGCTGAGTAGAACCTCCTTGGTTCTATAAGTAGTCAATTTCGAGCGGATTTACGGTTCCTTCTTTCTATACACCACTGCTACAAGAAGAGATATCAGTCTTGTACACTTCGATCAATTCCTAGTAAGTTCTCTTGGAGACACTGGCTATCACTTGCTTTGCTAAATACATTGCAGAACCTATATATCTTACTCTCCAACTTTTTAAATCGAAAACAACATGTCCGCCGCCGCTGGATCCTCTCCTCCCCCACCCCCTAGCGGCAAACCAACCGACAAGAACACTGGCCACGGTACCTCTTCGTATTCCAACCTCAAGATCCCTCTATCGGGAGACGGAAGCACTCCCCAGAAGGCTGCATGGGCGAGCATCATGTTCCAGCCCCCTGGTATTACGAAGAACTATATCATCGACGGCGTCGGACTCTTCCCACGCTACCGCCGGACCCGTATCAATGAAGCCTGTGAATACGCACGCTTGTCATATACAATACTCGACGGAGAGACCTACGAGGTCATTCCCGAGTCTCAGGTCCCCCCGGGTCCCATTGGCAACCCCTCTATGCCCCTTGCTGCGGGTATCGTAGCTCAGATGCAGGACATTGCCGCTCATGAGAACGCACTTGCGACGGGTTCGGGGGCAGCAACTGATGCTTACAACGCGCTTCAAGTTCACCGTGAGTCTGATGTATCCTCCTCGCACGATTATGGCTGACACTGTGCAGACGGTGACGCGTTTGTAGACGATAACGACAACACGGGCAACTCATCGGAAGACGCTGCCGGTAAGTCGGTTTAGTGTTATACCAGACGAGTTTGTACTAATCGCTTGTCAAAATCCTCTTCAGATACATCTGGAGACCGCTCGGCTGGTGCCTCTTCTACAGACTAAGGCCTGACTGTCGGATCTGTGCTTTCACTTCGGAGCGAGATTGCGCGCGCTGGGTAAATCCGACTGGAAAGAGTGGGCAAGTAGATGCAATGGAGTTTTTTCCGTTAGTGTCACGGCGTTAGTAGATACCCCTTTGATAGAAGAGAATACTATATGAAATATAAAGTCGAACTCCGTCTTCACACTGCATTTGTAAGAAACTACCGCTCGCGGAAAGACTACCTGCTACCTCTGGGTTTTCCCTTATCAAATCTGACCAACATGTAACGCGCTACCAAGACAAGATAGACGTTGTGTTATATGTCGTTACTCCATCGTGTAAACCTACCAGCACTTCCACATGTTATATACACATAATTTACTACCTTACAGCCCGCCTTGCTTTATCGTTAGCGTTCTCGCTCTTAGCAGATCTTGGCCAGTTACTACTCGCACACATATGCATCTATGTCGTTAAATTACGCATGTGTTTTAATAGTTGTACAGACTTGTAGAAACTTATGTAGTAGCTAGAAATATCTTGTAAGCGTGCATCGGCGCCTCTAACATTTACCTTCTTATTATAATAAAAAGACAGCGACATTTAAATGAGAAGCGGCACGCATCTCTATCATAGCACTCGCGTAGCACATTCTCTTGAGTACACGTGCACATAAGGGCAAAACATATTGCCTACTCTGCATCTCTGTAGCTGTGCTTGTGACTCACACACAAAGTCAAAAAAGAGTGTGCGTAGCCCAACTTCACATAGCCATGGTGAGAGAAAGGGCAAAAAAAGATTGTCGCAATTAATTGGCGGTACTGGGAACTGTAGACATGTTAGGAATGTCTCAGGACCACCAATGAGGGAATGAACGTACTCGAACCCAGGCTGGCGCGGATCTGGATCGGGACACTAGGTGTCCGCCAGCCACAACGCGACGTCATACCACTAGACCATACCACGATAGGGTTGTTAGTACGGTGATACGGGTGGTGGCTTGGAAAGCTGCTTACCCGAAGTGATTCGTTTTGATGGAGAAACGAGGGAAATTTGTGGTCATAATGTCGGCAAAACGCACGCGTACAGCTGCCATTAGTCCTGCAGTCAAGTCTCCCACAAGCATGTGAATCAGAGTTCTGACAGCAAAATTTGGATGCGATGGCGGGGTCGAAAGGTCTGTGCCCTCCGCTAATGGTGGGGCTGGATTTCCTGGTCGCACCCGAGTTGCTCTTTCTTCACCCAATCACCTGGGCAGTCACAACAGCAACACACCTAAGTGCTCGAAATGTCCATAGGTATGTGATTTGAAGTACTCCACAGGCCCAGCTACGCGTTAAAAGAACGCGATCCTCCAGCTTCAGCGTGAGTTCATCGATATCTAGGATGGCTGGAGCTCTACATGACGAAGGCCGCTTGGAGCTAGTGCTGCATTTGGCGATTTTGCCTGCATCTTTGACGAGGGTGGACACCACTAACGCTCGCATCAGAGCACTCATCACCTCGGCAGTCGCGAAGCAAGCCACGCAAATCCTATCGCGTCGAGGATGAATACTCATTTCTCGATGAAGACGAGGATGGCACTGCGCCCTCCGGCAAACAGACACCATCCCTCCAAAACGGCGATGATGACGACGGTGATGACTTCATGCCGGATGCCCAGGAGGAGGAGACGGAATATGAAGAAGAAGACGAAGTGGTAGAGGAGGAAGATGACTCTGCGGAAGAGCAGGCCAATTCCGACGAAAGTCCTGCACCAACTCCAAAACGCAATGCACGCGATGCACGAAATGCGCGAGTACCTCAAGCCGTGCCTACTACCCCAGACGTTATTCCGAAACGACGGTACAATGATCCCCGCTACAAGGACATGGCAGACAACATACCGTCACCAGTCATATTCAAGAAAGGAGGTGGCATCAAAGTACGGGTTGTCGATACGGACACCCAATTACGAACGCGAGGTATCCCTGATTTCGACAAGATTGGTGGTCATGAGCCGCGGCTGAAGAACCTGTTTGGTCCAGATGTGCACCATCTGAGACCAGTACTCGAATCGAGGGACTATTGGTTTCCACAAGAAACTTTCCCTATCCGGAGTTACAAGAAGAATAAACCTGATGATGCTGAGGTGGGTAGCTTGAGAAGGAGCTTCTTCGAAGCCGAAGGCGCGAGGGAGAAAGAGAATGAAGTCTTGAGGACGTGGTATGCCAATATCGGAAGCCATGCTTTTGCAAAAGCGCAGACAACGCATGAATTGACTGCGGATGAGGCAAAACAATACATGATAACCCCAGGATCGGACACCATGAACGTACTGGCTGGTCCAGTGAACACCCCCCAAGTGAATACGCTGGCAAAAGGCTCATACATGAGCATCGCAAAACCCTTCCCGGGCGATCAAGAGCGACGTGGTTGGCTGTTCAACCTTGGCTCTTGGGTGCAAGACGCCCAATGGGCGACGAACGAGGAATCCAGCACCCAATATCTTGCTGTCGCCATCGAGCAGAGACCTACCAGCGGCGACCAGCCCAAGCCACTGGAGCAACCAAAAGCACCTGCATTCAATCCTACTGAGCCATTCCCTGCGTCGATTCAGATATGGTCGTTTGAAGCTGACGATGAAGGCGACTTGGATGCATCGAAAGAGCCGCAACTAAAGCTAGTCATCTGCACAGACTGGGGTGCGCCAAAACATCTTAGATGGTGCCCGGTAGCTGCTACAGACACGACTGAAGAGATGGACGACGCAAGTAGCAGGCATATAGGTATGCTTGCAGGTATCTGGTCCGATGGACGAGTGCGCGTCTTGGATATCTCCGCACCTCCCAAAGTCGACACTCACACTCCTACGTATCTTCGTGTTTCACGTGCTGCATTCGAAGTTTCGTTTCCTCAAACAGTACCTTCGTGCTTACACTGGCTGTCGGGACATACACTCGCGGTGGCGACTGCAGCAGGCACTGTAGGCATCTGGTCCCTCAACCGACCAGGCACACTCAGAACACCCGACGCCATACATCACAACCCCAGACCCTGGTTCTATCAGCAACTAGCAGACACATACATTCTCACAGTATCCTCCGGATGGCCGTCTAACCCGCAATTCCTGTCTATCAGCACCGCAGACGGTTTCGCGCGTCTCTTCGACCTGCGGAGCCCAAACGCTGATACCACCGCCTCAATACGCGGTCGCACGCTTTGTCTAACGCAGGCATGGCACGAGCATACGCAATCTTTCGTCATGCCTGATGAACACTACATTCTTAGACATACACCCATCCGTCGCTACTACCACAACCTATACAGCATGCGATTAGAAAACAGCATCACACGTGTCGCGACAAGCCCGGTCCACCCTGGCGTTCTCATCGGCGGAGTTGACGGAGACATCCAAGCCAGCAACCCCATTATGCGCATCACAAACTACAAGATCATGCCATGGCAGCAAAAATGGTTTGTCCACGAGTGGCGAAGACCGATGGATCGACTGCCAGCCAAGC